AGAGAACACCAGAGCCATGCAGGCTCAACTTGAGCAACTGAGCCACCAGGACACAGAGGATTTCCCCAACTGTATCCCCACCCCACCCCTGAGAAAGAGTATGGAGTGAGGAAATGAAAAAAGGCACATCTGTAGCCACTGAGGAGCCAGCAAGATTTCTCCAATAAGTTGGATTAGTGCCCTCAACTAGGGATGTAAGCAACTAGTCAAGAAGACAACTACTCGATAAGTCTATGCTTAAATCAGCATAAAAGCTGGTTCCCCCCCAGCACTGTCTCTGCAGGGGCGCAGGGGCACAGCGTGGGATTGCGTGTGAGCCAGGACTCAGCTGTCCCGGCTTGCACCCAGTCCCCTGCTACACCTCTGCCTTTTAAATATAGTAAGAGCCAGGCGGTGCTTCAGCAGTTTCCTCCTTTATTGAAAAAAAAACCAGCAAGCAAATAAAGTAGCACTTTTTAGACTAACAAAACATGTAGATGGTATCATGAACTTTCATGGGCACAGCCCACTTCTTCAGATAGACTTTTATTAGTCTATAAAGTGCTACCAGACCATTTGCTTGCTGTTTTTTTCTGTAACAGACTAACTCGGCTACCCCCTGAACCTCCTTGACTAATTGACTACTCGATTAGCTGATTAAATGCAATTTAATATCCTTATCCCCAAGCCCACCCATGATCCTCCAGTCCCTGCACACAATGCACCTGCAGCATCTTCTGAACATAGATGGTATTGTCTCTGTCATTCGTTTTGTTTTCTGACCGAGCCTTCAGAGGTCTGTAGACACAGCACATGGTGAAGCAAATCATGTACAACACATAGAACAAGGCCAGGAAACAGAAATAGGGACGTCCATACATATTCCACTTCAGGCTCACTAGCTCCTTCACAGGTGTGAGGTCTAGAATCTGACGGGCCTGAGAGAGAGAGAGAGAGAGAGAGAGAGAGAGAGATCACTTATTAGCTGCGAGAGACTCTGGTTTAGGGGCACTCTGCATGAGTTCCTGGGAGGACATTAACACAAGCTAATTTCTCCAAAGGCATTGCAGCATGAGAACACTACATTTATTTCATATACAAGCAAATTCTTAGATCAGTTTGCTTTAGTCCAGCTGGCCAAAGTACTGTTGAACCAATGCTAAGAAAACAGGGATCACTCCAGCACTCTGGTTTTATCATGAAGAGGAGAAACATATGTTGTGTGTTGGAGATGATGGAAACATGAGGACTAGTCTGCAACTCCACACTTAATATTCTGATGTAGTTCTCTGCTCTACTAAATTGCTATTGGGTTCTAGCTCAGAGGTGGGTATATTCCTCTAGTGATTGAATGACCCTTATAACATCAGTGGGGATGTAAAACACTGCAGAAAAGCACCCGTATTCTTGAAAACAAGTAATAAATCTCATTTTTATGATCTCCTCCATCTAGAATAATCTCTACCTTTTATGAGTCATTTTACACACTTTAGGATGTGTATACAATAGGGATGAGCTAACCTCACAATGTCAATGGTTTTTGAACCTTGTGAACTGTTCTGGAGATTCATAGAGTGCACAAAACTAATTCAAGTTTGTGAATCTTCTTTTCCTGTAATTGGAAGTTATTTTGAAAACTGGCTCAATTAGAGCTAAAAGTAACCAGTATTATATGAGACAGCCTCCCCTCCTCTCCCCCCCACTCCCCTCCACATCCTTCCACTGACAAAAAGAGACAGCCTCCCCTCCTCTCTCCCCCACTCCCCTCCACATCCTTCCACTGACAAATACTGCCCAGCCATTAGAGAAAAGATCTGCAAAACAGAACATTGGATTCTATATCGAATTGACTCTGCTCATCACTCAACATTTGCTACTGGGGAAGAATCCATCTGAATGTAAGGTAGCTGACTCGAAGAAATAATGATGGCAGCTCTGTCTTTCTAACCCTTTAA